TATATCAACTATATACCCAATATATATACTGTCCCGATTACATCATAAATAACCTTGGATGTTTAGTTTATTGGATTTTGGACAATGCAAAGCTACGATTCAACACCAAATTTATTGAATAAAACTTTATTAAATAGACATTTGTTTTTACAAAATACAAACTACGAGTTTAGGGCAACACACCCAACAGTCTTCTTCAACGGTTTCTTGAGAGCTTTCTTGAAGTGAGAGTGAAGTGATGGGATGAGGAATGTTGGAGGCACCTAATTGCAAGCTTTTATACCCCTCTTGATTTTAGGGCAACACAGATGATAAAGTGGGCCCCAACTCAAAATATCAAGTATTTTTCCATTTTACTACAGTAATTTCTCGGGTTAAAGCTGTAAATGTCAACTCTGTCTTTTTCTGTCTTTTTGACTCCGATGCTAAACATTCAAAATTAGGTCATTCTTCATAACTCTAAGCATTATCATAAAAAATAAGGAGGATAGCGAATCTATAACATTCTTTGCACAAAATCAATGTAGATTGGGTGTTAGTGTGACTATCCTTAGCTAATTTATATGGAACTCTTGCACAAATAACTCTCTTTTGGAGAGTTATCAGTATCATATATACTCTGCAAAACTCAATATTTTAATTTATTGGCTGATGTAAAATTAGTATCACAATAATCATAAAAATAAACAAGACAATTTAAAACATAATACCAACAATTGTACTTAACTTTCTCATACTTGTCGATTTTCTCCTGATGTTACTCTTCAACGCTATTAATTTTCTTTGGGTTCTTGTCGGTGAGGAATTAGGCCACCTTGAAAAGATTAAGGTAGAACAACACTTTTCCCTTCCATCTCTTGAAGGGTGCTCTCTTAAATCTAAATGAATTGTTGAGATCTCCAACATTCTCATTAGGTTTCTCAATAGTAGACTCAATTCTTCTTAAATTGATGTTGAATCTCCTTAAAATTGTTGGGGGAAATAGAAATAACATAGATAATTGTAGTAAATATTGAAAAACAAATACATAATCAATTAGGTTGATGTGCGGGTATCTCGCTCTCTTTAAGCAGATTCAAACCCTCTGTGGTGTTTATTTCTTTATCAACCACCGGTGCAGCATGTATTCTCTGGCCTGTCCCCTCCAAGATACAACAACTCAACTGAAACATTGTATAGCTTAAACCATTTTGCAACTAGAGGTTGAGCTTAAAACTCCACAACAAGGAACACCCCTCTTTTGTCTAATTGCTCTTGAAATAGCAAAGTAGAGAATGAAGAAAGTATAGAAGAGAGTATGAATTGTAGGTTGTGTTTTGAAAGTGAAGTTATAAAGTTATTTATGAGATTTTTACCACTATTAACTTAATATAGAAATTAATTAGACTTTTAAAACATTTCTTTTTCAAATTCATTTCTTCGTAATGCTAAAGCAGGCACCAACAGCTAAGAATGGGGCCTGCTTGAAGAAATTTAGCTCGTTTCTCACTGCTTTATTTTGGATAAAGGGTTCCGGCTACTTTTGTAAAAACCTCTAAAATCTTAAATTCTCAATTCAAATAGAAGAAACTCATATTTTGATTATTAATAGATATCAAAATGCAACAACAATTATTAAAATATAATTCATTATTTATTAAATGTTAGAACAATAAAAATTAACAATATTTTTATATTAATGATGATTATTCTAATAAAAATTATATCGATATCTTATAGTTGATATAATTTTATTTTAATTATTTATTATTTGTTAAAATAATTATTATAATAAAAAATATTTACGAAATAGTAATAAATAAATTAAAATTTATTAGAATTTTTAATTTAATTAAAAAAGTATATATTGAAACGTTTTTTTTAAGTTAACATATTTGTAATTAATTAGAAATAAGAAAATGATATTCTAATAATTGTTATATATTTGATTTTATGTCAACCCCGACAGTTTTAGTAAACAACATGAATGAATTTCTAATTTTGATTTTGTTTCGATTTCCAATAAGTGAATAGGGTCCTTAGTGACTTGAAATGTGCATTAGAAAATTCAAAGACGAAGTAGACATGACACTAGAAGTTCACAGGTGAATTTATAATTTAACAAAGAATAATGTATAGATGATTACCGATGAGGAGATATCTTCCTGCTATTTCCGGCTATTAAAAAATTGACAATTATTATTATTTTTTCTCTCTTTTAGCTTTGAATTTTTACAAAATACCACCCATCTCCATGCGTTGAATTTTGATAGCTAATGATAGATATATATATTTAAAATTATATAATGTTTCTGTGAAAGATTTAATAGACTTCCATATCCTTTTAACAAATATAAAAGTAGAAATAAAAAAAGAATATATAAAAGTAAAAGATAATCAGAAAACTTGGGGGGAACTGGAAGAACCGGGGAGGACTCTGGGCAGAGCCAAAGCACTCTCTCTCCGATACCCCGCAGTCCCCCATGCGCATCATCTTCCACAGCACTCATGGGCTTCACTTCCACAATCTCTCTCGCCTCTCATCCTAAGGTAACTCCCAAATCCTTTTTCCCCCCATTGTTTTCATCAGTCAACCCAATTCAGTTCTTATTCCTCGCACTCGCAATTTCAACTGTTCTTGCTCCATCTCTAGATTTTTCTTCGAGTTCATGCTCTACGGCCCGGTTCTTTCTCCGACTACCATGCCAATGGTGCGCTGGTTCCGGTTACTGTGCCGCCGAGAAGAGGCTTTAGATTGAGAACCTTGGTGCTCAAGGCTACGTTGAGGTCCGAGGGAGCCTCTAGGCGGCCTGCAAGTTCTCGGAGAGTTTACAGGGAGTCTCAAGCTGAGAGCTCCTCGTTGATTGCCCCCGTCAAGCAGCTTGCCTCGTCTGTTTTACCTGTCGGCGCCTTCGTTGTTGTTACGTTCGGTATGGTTTTGCTCTTTTCGTTTTCTTTTGCAACGCGTAAGGAATACTCTATCCTTTTTCCTATCTTACGACTAAGCACGTTCTAATTGAAGTGCATATTTAATTTTTTGTTAATAAGTATAATGTATGAATTTGAAGCATGATTTGGAACTTCCACGGCTGCCGTTTATGTTTGGGAATGAATTAGAAGACTTTTTGCGAAGATTGGAGATTAATTTAAGTTTTTCAGCTCACAGTTTTATGGAAATTGGTGGAGAAACTCATGGTTCCGAAGTCAGAGAGGTCTTCGTCCTTGGAAAGCAAGTCTCCCGCCCAAGGAGCTACATGGTCCTTTGGCGCTGGTATAAATTTGTTTCCAAATCTGACTGCCAAGATTGACCGAGATGCCAAATTGAAGCTTAATGAATTTGCAAAAGAACTCCGGACATTTAGAAGCGTCGACATGACAGGTATTCTCCTGAAGGTTAACAGAGAAGTGATATATTAATTTCAGTTGTGCCACATCTTCTTTAACGCTGCAGCATTAGGATATAGTTTATTAATCTCTATACCAATTAAACTTGCCTACCGACTTCACTACATCTTGACTGGCCATAATATCCTGTGCTTATAGTATATGGACTAGGTTTTTCAACTCTCATTATCAGTCGCTCATAATGGATATGGAATTTTCATAATTGGATTACTGGAGTTTAGAAGTTCTCCAAGAAACGAAGTTGAAAACCATAGATGAGAAAATTGCTTACTACCCATGGGTTTAATGTTTCTTTTTTCAGGCATGCGGATGCATCAATTTATTTTTGATGCTTAATTTGTGAAGGTTTTAAAATTTATTCACTTGCCAATTGTGAAGTATATGAGATTTAATCTTATTTTTGACAGGACGCAACTTTGGAGATGAAGGCCTATTTTTTCTTGCTGAGAGTTTAGGATACAATCAGGTAGAATATTTAATGCATTTTTCTGGTTCTATAATACATGCCTAGTGGTATAACTAATGAGCATGATTGGCATGAATTATTGCTAATTTATTTAGCTATTTATTTTTTTAAAATTTATGTAACATTATGCAATGAAGTGTTGCTAGTTTTATATTTTATTAAATTGCATTATTTTATTGTTACAGACGGTTGAGGAAGTTAATTTTTCTGCAAATGGAATAACAGCTGAAGGGATAAAAGCATTTGATGGTGTCCTTCAATCAAATATCGTTTTAAAGACCCTTGATCTTTCTGGGAACCCAATTGGAGATGAAGGTGTAAAGGTTGTCATAACTTCTTTTATCCATTAATATTTGATGAGCATTTTGACCACTTAATCTTATGTTTTGGGGTATTTTAATATGTCTGATATTGAATGCAAACAAAAAAAGAAAGGGGGAGAGGAATAGACCAAGGCAATGCCAGAATATATCAGAACACTTTTTTTCTGATCAAGAAATTGATCTTTCATAATATCAATTAGAAAATGAAAGAATATAAAAGGGCCAAGAAAAAGAAGGCCAGCTAAGATGGGTCGACAAAAAAATTGGGCTTATAAAAATGGCAACCCAAGGAAAGGAGCCAAACTGGATGCTAACCTACAAAATATTGAGGAGCACTTTGGAAGTACTTACCAACAAACAATGAGCCCATTTTTGCCCACGATAAGGCTGTGTCCATGGGTGAAAGCAAAAGATTGAGAGAACACAGAGAATAAGTGAAGTTTATTTGATAAGCCTATGTCCATGAGTGAGGAGAAAGGAGATTTAACTAGGTTAAAGGAAGAAAACTCTGAAAGCTCTCACCAAATGGTTAAAGGTCTGGTTCAAAGATGAAGGCCACGGGTATGAGCTGTCCAAGGAAAGGTGTATATTTGAGGCTTAGATACCCGTGCATATACAATCAGCAGGGAACACTATGCTTTTATTGTTTTTTTTCTCTTTTTTAAATTTGTCAAATTGTTAGGATTATTTTATTCTTTAAAAGCCCCTAATGTCTTCTAATTTTACTTTCTTATTAGATATTCTAATCTTATTGGATTTTTAAGTCCTTTTTTAATTTTAATAGATTCCCAATTTGAGGTTGGTCTGTTTTCCTTTTAGTACTGTTGCAACCTTTTTCCAGTGTAAGAAATACAATTTTCATATGTTATCCAACAAAGATTTATTGAGTCAAGGCTTGTGGATTCAAGTGTAAAACCACATGTGGATTCCTAAATGCTGAAGTGGTTTCTATAAATTTGTTCTATCTTCTTTGTACTTTTCTTCCTATTTTCGATGCAAATCTGACTTCAGATCCCAATAGCTAGGAACAAGGGGCAGTCCAGTTGGCAAGAATTTGGAGTCTTTTAGTCATATTGGCTGAGAGGACTCAGGTTTGAACCTTCTGGTGAGCTTAATATAAAAAATCCTTGATGTCTCCCGAGTCCGGGCCTTGGGGCGGGTGCAGGTGCCCTTGGATATAGGGGAGCTAACCTCTGACTCCTAGTTATCAGAAAAGAAAAAAAATAGCCAGGAAACCCCATTAAGAGCCCCAAAACTCTTGAAATTTGTCAAAGTCATCCCCGTAAAAGTTGCCATTTGTCGTGCATAAAATTGTTATCTTTTTTGAACTAGATACGAACTTCTCAATGATTAATAAAAAGAAATAAAATTGTTCAAAGGATACAATCTCCCTAAGGGTCATGCGTCAAGTTGTTATCAAAGCTGCAATAGTTGATTTATTGAGGCGTGATGGGATTTGAACACTTGCCTCTTGAGGAAATAGGGAGGGAGATGACCCTTACACTTGCCTCTGGAAGAACATAGGCAGGGAGATGGTCCTTTCTCCCCTTTTTGATTCTGAAGGTGGATGTTCTTAGTAGACTTGTGCCTAGGGGTATGTAGGGGCATGCATAGGAATCTAGCCTAAGGGTTTGTTTTGGTAGGGGGATGAAGTACCTCTTAACTAGCATCTTATTCGGTAGTGAGAAGGAGGATTTTTTTTGTGAGATTAGAAACAAAACTTACTGGTTTTAAGGTTATCTCCCTGGTCTTAGTGTTAATTGGTAGAAATGTTCAATCATTGATCTTAATTAAGACCTTAGTAAGCTTGAAAATTGAACTCTTTGGCGGGCTGTAAGGTTTCTTCATTCCCCTTGACTTGGGCTTCTGCAAGGTCATTGACTCATAATCTTGAAACTATCTGGTTGTGGAAAAGGTCAAAAGCATTTATCTATTGGAAGTAGGTACTTTTTATCTAAGGGTGAGAGGTTAAGCTTTATCTCAATTGGTCCTTAGTGGATTTATATTTATATTTTCTATCCTCGCTTAAAATTGTTTGTTCCATTATGAAAAAGATCACGAGGAAATTTTTTATAGGAAGGAGTTAAGAGGGAAGATGGTGGGTCTCATATTGTTAGGTGAGTGATTGTGTCCAAGCTGCTGTGAGGGTGGGTTAGACATGGGGAATTAATAGAAGAACTTAGCTCTTCTGACCAATCGGTCGTGGTGCTTTCCTTTAGAGCGTATACTTTGTGACATAAAGTTATCGTAAGTATGGATATCATTCTATTGGATGGGAGATGACTGTCGTGGCTTAGTACACATTTACGACTCCTTGGAAAGCCTTTTCACATTGTATTGTATTGCTTTATTTGTGGGAAAGGGAAACCAATGCTTCTTTAGTTTAGTTTTTTGTTTTGAGAATACGGTTATTTTAAATTAGATTTATTGGTGTTTGTTTAGTTTTCTTTTTAAGGTGTCTTCAATATCTGTATATTGTCATCCAAGGAGTCAAGGAATTTCTTAAGGGTGGAAAAAATCTAATAAAATAAATTAATAAACTAAAGTTGGGCAAATTAAGGAGAATATTAGAAATAAATTTTAATATATAACTTTTTTTCCTGTTTTAAAATATGCCCCCTGTCGTGAAGTTATCTCTGTCCCCACTTACCTCTCACTCTCAGTAATCATGAAGTATTAAATTGGTCCTATCAGTTCATCATAATATTTGGTAGTCTGGATAGTCCTAGGTTATTTTGATATCCCATGTACGTTAACAGAAACTTGTTTTTCATGATATGGATATACAAACACATGGTAGGTTTACCCAAGGATTTTGAACCTAGGGCGTATTGATTAAGACTAGAATACAGAGAATATAATGGTCCGGGGAGGTTCAATGGGTATCCTGTTTCATAACTGAATTAATATTCATCGACCTTAGTCTATAGATCAGGCTTTTAAAGTTTTTTAATTTAATTTAATTTTTTTTATAAATCTTATCCTGTTGATGTGGGCATGAATTGTGGCTTTTTGCCTATTGAATTAATGCCAGTACTTCGTGCAGTTGACTTAAATATTGCAATTACAAATGTTTTCAGAGCCTGTGTGATTTGCTGGTGAATAATGCTAGTATTCAGAAGCTTCAGCTAAACAGTACTGACTTGGGAGATGAGGTTAGCCGACTAATTTCATAAAAGCTCCATCTGTAGGAGAAATTCATGTTCCATCAAAGTCCTTTTGGTGCATTTTTATTTTTTACTTTTTATTTTAAAATTTTTATCTTATCATCAAGTTCTTTGCAGGGTGCAAAAGCTGTTGCAGAGATGCTGAAGAAAAATGCAAGCTTGTGCACACTCGAACTTAATAATAATATGATTGATTATTCTGTAAGTCATTGAATTTGAATGCTTTAAGGTTTCTCTTCTTCTAGAAGTGGGTTTTAGATAGTAATATTGATTATTTTTGTTCTTTTTGGATAATGGAGGTAGGGATTTACAAGTCTTGGCGGAGCACTTCTTGAAAACAGCGCTATACGGAACATACATCTTAAGTGAGGATTCTATCACCCTCCATTGCTGTTGCTATGTTTATACGTATAATAAATACTAAAAAGTGACTTAATGAGAGAACATTTTGATTTTCCATTTTTACCCCTATTTTAATTTTTGTAATATATAACTTAATATTTTTCGTATTAATTTTAATATGGCTATTAATAGTTAATATCAATGTTTTAAAAGGCTAAAGGCGGCCTCGAGCTTTTCCTCCTCTTGAAGTGGCGAGGCGTAAGCCTCGAGGTGGTATGAAGTGTAAGCCTTAATTTTAATTAAAAAAATTTCGAAAATTTGAATGATAAGTATTGCTAAACATAATAGTTATATAAAGTATAAAAAAAATTCACCTGTTAATTGCCACTTAAATAAAAATCCTAGAAGAACATCCTCAATATCACTACAATTATCACTAATAGGAGTGTCTTATTCTATAAAATTTGTCTCCAATGTTTTTAAGTCTAGGCAGTAAAAGTAGTAATAGGTTGAATTGTTATCACTCCTACAATCCATTCCATACGCAAAGAAACCTTTATATTTTTTAAGAATTGGGCAAATTAATAATATTATTCTAATCATTACACGAGGCGTAAAGACTTTAAGCCTCAATACGTCTTCAAAGAAGCGTAAGACTCTTATGGTTCAAAGAAGGTGTAAGTCTCGAGAAAGTTAGCGCCTTCGCAAGCCTTTTAAAACATTGGTTAATATTGATACTTACTTTAATAAAACTAAAATACTTTTATTACAATTTAAATAGGCATTGATGTTTATAAAAGAATAAATGCAATAATAGTTGTATTAAGATTTTAACAAAGATTAATGTTTATGAAAAAATATAGACAATTGTAATTTTATTAAGATTTAAACATACTAGAACAATTACTTAATTTTTATTAATGAATATTGATTCCTACAACAAAAATAAATATAGTAATAAAATCTTGAGACTTAAGGAAAAAAATCAAAAGACAGTTAAATAAAATTTTCTAATTATTTGAATAAATTAAATTTGGAGTATTTAATAATAATATTTAATCATTTCTTGCAATTTGAAAACATTTGTTTATGAAGGTAATGATACTTGTACAGCTAGAAGTACAAAATATTTGATCAACTTTTACTATCTACATGGTATTAATTGTTTTGGCTTTTTATAATTATATTCAACTTTTGTTTATCTATTTAATCCAGCGTTTTAAAAGGCTAAAGCTAGCCTTGAGGTTTTTCCTCTTGAAGAGGCAAGATGCTAGTCTCGAGGCTATATGATGCATAAACCTTGATTTTAATTAAGAATATTATACAAATCCTAAATTTGTGTGATCAAGTATTGGTAAACATAATAGTTATATAAAATTATGGTAAACATAATAGTTATATAAAATTATCAAAAAAATCACCCGTGTCAATTGCCACTTATTATAAAAATTCCAAAAGGACATCCTTAATATCACTACTATTATCACTTATAGGATTGACTTATTTTATAAATTTTTATCTTCAATGTTTTTAAAGTTTTGGTAGTAAAAGTAGTAAAAGATTGAATATTGTTACTACTCCATAATTAGTGTTTCATACACAAAAGAAACTTTTATATATTTTAATCATTAAACGAGTCATATTATTATCCTAATCATTAAACGAGTCATAAAGACTTGAGCCTTAGGGTGTCTTCATAGAGGCGTGGACCGCGTGGTCCAAAGAAGGTGCAAGTCTCGAGGCTAAAAGTTAGAGCCTTGCCTTGAGGAGAGCTTCGTAAGCCTTTTAAAACATTGATTTAATCTTTTGGTATTTAAACAGCATATTTAATATTTCACTCTCAAGTATTAAAATAAGATTTATTTTCATAACTTGATTAAAGAAAAAAAAGGTATATAATTATACGTTTCAGATATAACTTCTAATGTTATCAATTCAAAATATTAGTTATTCATTATTTATTAATTATTTAAATTATAATATGCATAAAATCAATTAAAGTGGTCAATTAAGTTGTAAAATGTAAGACTTATGTTTTTGAAATTATATATAAATATTCTTAAGTTATATAAGGTATATTATTTCACTGTGATATAATTTTTGTTGTCAGTATTAATTAAATGATTTACTTATTTAATGATATAATTATCTAAACTATCTAACCAGCCAGAAAGTGAGGTAATTAAGTGTAACAAATTATTAACTTTTCATAAAATATATTGTAAAAGAAAGGGTAACTTAAAAGTTTTCAAGCACAGGCATGTAAAATTTTACATACCTAAAATTCCCCAGTGTATATCTTCTTTTGCTGCCGTTATGGTACATGTATTTAGTGCCATATCCACCTTCCATTTTCCCTTTTGAAGCTAATCTAAGATTCTCTTTTGTAAGTGGCAATTATGGTGGTGCTCTGGGAGCTAATGCTTTGGCTAAAGGACTTGAAGGGAACAAATCTTTGAGGGTACATCTTGTCTAGTTCATCTTCTATGTTGTTTCCGTATCAGGAATCTTATCAATTGTGTTAACTTCAGAGCAATTATTACAAGCTACAATTCTCCTATTAAGGACAAAAAATCCTACTCACTTTTTTTCTTTTTCCTTTTTTAATTGGGAGTTGAAGCTTTACTCCCCTATATTCACTTCTTTAGCATTCAAGCTTTTCTGGTATTTCCTTGATTATTTTTTTCAACAGAAACAACTTTTCATTGATAGAGGAAAAGATAACTATTATGGGTATTAGTTGGTATTGCCTTTGTCAATATTTTTACTATTTTTTTTTTATATGAGAAACCAAACTTTCATTAAAAAACATGAAAAAAAAACAAGGGATACAAAAAAACCAGCCTCATGAAGGAGTCCTTAAAACTAACTAGGTATAAAAGGACTCCAATCCAAATGAATAAGGCCTAACTTATAATTACAAAGTAGCTTAGAGACGATTACCTAAAGGAAAGAGTTGAATCTAACCACATCCCAAACCTCTTTCCAAGTCCTCTCCACCACTCTAAACATTCTACCATTCCTCTCAAACCAAATACCCCATAAGATAGCAAAAACATGTGTGCCACAAAATAAGTCCCTTGTCTCAAAAGAGATGATTCACAAGAACCTCCTCCATCATAGCACAACAATCCCGAAATCCCAAAAGTCTCCACAAAACGATTCCATAAAGCCTGAGAAATATGGACAACTCCACAAGATATGGTCATGACGAGCATGCTTGCACAAACAGCACTATTTTCGGGCCCAGAACAAAAGAGCCTTTGAACATGATCTAAGGTGTTAACTTTCCTGAGCAAGACTTGCCATGTAAAGAATTTAACCTTCTTGGGGAAAAAAGAGCATCATGAGAGGACGAAGGGCACATAAGATTTGGAACACTAAGCTACACGAGAAACTCCTTGAAGGATTGGGGTCTGTGAATGGATGTCCCTCCTCCTCGAACACAATTGAGAGTTACCAAGAGTGAAAGGAGAGCTGCCATTTCTGTCGTCTTCCTATTTGACAAAGGATGATGGAAACTCAGAGAAAGGGAATGAGAAGAACTCAAGGAAGGCATGACACATGCCACTTAATGCAACTTCTTTCTTCTTTGAAAGCTGATACAAATGTGGAAACAAAGCACAGTGAGGCTTTTCTCCCACCCAACAATCCTAAATTGGGGAAGGTTCAAATAATATTTTAACTTATCTAGGAACACAAGCACATGCTACATTTGCTTTCTTATGTGTGTATCTGTTGCTGATGATAAAATAATGCTCCAAAGCATTACTAAAGATGCTAGGCACATCTTTTTAATGCTCTCATCAACTGCTGGGTGATTTTATGGCTCTGTAAAAACTCATCTGGTGGTGGGTGTATATATTACCATCTTGGTTAGATGAGTATAAAAATTCTCGCATGGAAAGGTTGCCTCTGTCAACTTCAAATCATTTTCCATTACTGCTTGAAACCGGGACTGTTTTGGGGCCATACTCCTTTTAGGTCTGAAAATGTTTGGTTTTCTCACACACACTTTCTTTGTGTGATTCTTGATGAAAAGCAGTTCCTTCCAGAAGGTAATCGGGTTTCTCTTTCATTCAAAAGCTAAAAGATTAAAGGCATCCTCAAGATACGGAATAACAATCTTTATGTTATGGGTGACATCTACTCTGAGAAGCAGGCTTGGTACTAATATTTGGCGAACTTGACTCGCAAGAGGAGGTTAGGAGTTTTACTGAAGCTGAGAAATTGTTGAGAAATTTCCTTACAGGTCTGCTTCAAAGTCTGGAGTTGTGGTGGATGGAATGGGGGTTCTATGCTTTGGCCATACAAAAGATTTCTTTCATTCCCAAAGTTTTTAATGAGGTGTCAGCTTAATTATTCATGTGGAGATAAAGGCTGAATACGTTGCTTTCCTCACTTTTATTTACTAAATGACCTTAGACGGTTTCATTCGAATAGATTTTTGGAGTCCTATCTCTTAGATTGCCCGTGATCAGCTTGAGGTCCCTTTTTCTAAAGAAGACATTCACAGTGGTGAATGATTTAGGGGCTTAACAAAGCTCTTGGCCCTAATGGGATTAAATGTGTAGCTCTTTAAAAAGGGACGAAATACTTTTTAAATTTGGTTGTCTTGATATTTTCAACAAAACTTATGAAAATGGGCTAGTCAATTCTTATGCCCACACAACAGCATATTGGTCTTGTACCCAAGCGTCCTAATGTAATTGAATTCTCTGAGTCAAATCTATCAGCATAACAACTAGTGTTTACAAGGATCTTGCTAAAGTCTTGGCTGCAGGGTTGAGAATTGTCCTTGCTACTGTTTCTTCTTCTCACGACTTTGTAGTTTCATAGACATATCATAGACCCATCTTAATATCCATTAAAGACTTTAAAGTTGCAGAGGGTGTTGGTAAAAGAAGAAAAACTGGTTTATCCTTATGGTGGATATTAAGAAAGCTTATTACAAAGTCTGACTGGGATTTTCTTGATGGGACTCTTGAAGTCAAGGGGTTTGGTGTCTTGTGGAGAAGATGGATTAGTGGGTCTGTGCCTGATGTACTATCACGAGTTGGTTACAGTCCTTATGACTTTTATTATATGGTTTTCGTTAGTCATTACTGGTTTAACTAGTATAACCCATTTAGAGGTTTTCGTTAGTCATTTAGAGGTGTCTCTTTTACTTAACTTGTTGTCTGCGGTGCGTCTCTTTCCTGGGAGGGAAGACGTGAGAGTCTGGACCCCAACCCTTCGAACGATTTCTCTCGTAGTTCCTATTTCCATATGTTGAACTTCCCGTCTTCTTCTCTCCCTTCGACCCTTTGGTTTACTTCTCTTTGGAAGATTAAAATTCCGAAGAAGATCAAGTTCTTTGGGTGGCAAGTCTTACTCGGGAAAGTTAATACCTTGGATCGAATCTAGAGGTTTTCTTCCTTTTGTTTGGGCCTGCAGTGGTGTGTTCTTTGCGGGAACACTTTGGAAGACCTTGAACATTTGTTGTGAAATTGTCAGTTTGCATAGGACTTATGGCGTCGTTTCTTTATGTGTTTTAGGATGTCTTGGGTCCGTGCTAGGGAGTGTAGGGGAATGTTGGAGGAGGTGCTGTTATACCCTCCCTTTCGTGATAGGGGTGCTTTTTGCGACAGACCTGTTTTCTGGGTTCTTTGTGGGGTATTTGGCTGGAATTGGAAAGGAATCATAGATTGTTTAGGGGCGGAGAAATCTGTGGATTATGTCATATAATACTTCGTTATGGGGTTTAGTTTCTAAGGCCTTTTGTAATTATCCGTTAGGTCTCATTCTTTTGGATTGGAGTTCTTTTCTTTAGAGGACTACCTCTCTTTGGGCTGTGTTTTTTGAAGGCCCTTTTTGTAGCCTCTCTTTTGTTCTTTGTTCTTTTTGTATCTTTTTTCATTATTCTCAATGAAAGTGTTGTTTCTCGTTAACAAAAACTGGTATAACCCATTGTTGTCAGCATGTACAAGTTATCTAAAACCTATTTAAAGGCTCTTCCCCTTGTGTATTAAGAAGCAATAAATTTCAGATTGATTCTTCTCTAGTGCATGAAGTTTGGTATCAGAATCCTATGAATGGCTAGCACCTATCGGCAAGATTCCAATGTGGTTGGTGTTGCTTTGCTCCAAATACGGCAACAATTAGTTTTGATTGATGAATACCCGATGGAATAGCCACAGTGGAGCATGCCATCATGGGCTTGGGGGCTGAAATCTATTCTGTGAATTAAAAATCAAAAGCTTTGGTTCAACAAATTGAGAATGAGTTTGAACTAAGAACTAATGGGAGGTATGTTCACAGTCTGGTTAAAGGAGAGAAAGTATGTTTATCCTCCAATTAGAGAAAAGTACGGAAGGACTTCTGAGAGCAAGGCGAATGTTTAACATTTCCCCCCAGAAGACCCACAATGGCTCCAAGGTTTGAAGCAACTTTGAAAATTCAGAAAATGAAGATCACCACTTATTTCTACCAAAAGATAGTAACTACACCATGCAGATCATCAAAATAGTCTGTGTACGTACCAACTCTAGAGGTCAGATTTCAGACCTAAGGCCAAGCTCTCTTACTTGTGATGAATGACCAATATTGAGGAATCCTTAGACTAATTAAAGGCAGTGAAACATTCTTTGTTTGCATATACTCACCTAAGAGGTAAAGTTGGTGGCTTAAGTTCAAGAACTGTGCTACTGCACGGTGGGTTCAATTGAAACATAGAAAATGATCCCTCCCTATGAAGAGGGTCGATGGTGCTGGTCCCTCCCCATTGAGGACGGGTGCCTCAGGATCTTCTGTTTGAAACATAGAAAACCAAGCATTGTTAGCAAACTGGAGATTTTAGGAAGAAAAGGATGCCCTGTGGAGAAAGATCATAGCCGCCAAATATGGAACCACTCACAAGGGCTACAAGCCGGGTATCAAATCTTTGCATTGAACGCATCTCATTGGCCATAGAGATATGTTATGTCTACTCACGACCTTATCTACCATAGATGTGATCTACCCTGCCTTTGTTCTTCTTGCCCTGGCCGTTGTCCATACTTCCCTAGGCTTTGTTTTGAGCTTTCTCAATCAATTATTGAATTGTTATGGGGGCTTGGTAAACTTCCTCCAGCATGAGGTCTTTTTTGCTTGGTTGCGTGACTTTTTCGTTCTTAGTAGGTAATTCTAGCGAAGGATCAGAAGGCATCTGGGCTAAGAAAGGGGCAAAAGCTGTTCCTGTTTGATGGTGTGATCATTACAATTGACCACCAAAACCTATAGTTTAATCACTTGGTGTGTAGTCTTTGTGCGTCTCTCCTTTATGGACTTTGAAGAGGTGTGACTAACCATTTGTGAGGGTGGATGCATCGTCCCTTGAGCCAACCGAACAAGGAGAGAGGTGCTCCCTAAACTAGAGACAAAGACAAGACGATGTATCATGTCTTGACCTTGACTCAAGATGCTTGTCATGAAGTTTTAATTTTTACCTTTCTATGTGATATTGGAAGTATTTCAGCCCATTTATGTGCACCCCCACTAACCTTACATAATAATTTGCCCGACCCTATAATATTTGGAGGTAGGAAAACTTATAGGATTCTAATATTCAAGCGGGTGGGCACCTTGGTATAGGGAGCAAAGCTCCGACTCCAAGTTATCAACAAAAAAAAAAAATAAAATAATAATATAATTGGGCACCATGGGGAAATGAGATGCTTGCCATGAACATCAGCTATCTAGAGTGAAAAGTTTGATTGAGATGGTCACCTATATGTCATAATGGTCGAAGTTTAGAGTAAGGAATTTGCATGGAGATTGGACCAAGCTAACAGCTTTGATGAAGGATGACTTAGTGAGGGCTAGCTAGTCGCCAAATTTATATTTTATTCCGTTAATTAATTTAGTTAAATTGTTAGTTTTTGTTAATTGCTTTTATTAATTTACGTAAATTGTTAGTTTTTGTTAATTGCTTTTATTATATTGTTAACTAGGTAATTTAGAATTTTCTTGTAATATATATTATCTTGTAACGCTATAGATAGCTACATTTAGGTCGTGTTAAGGGGGACTTTTGAAGTATTAGCATTTTCTTTTTCTTGGTATTTGTTGAGAATCCATATAAATGAATTAAATTTACCCAACTCATAAGCTTAAGCTTTTGGGTTGAGTGATGGTTTATTCATCCTTAACATGGTATCAGAGAGGGAAGCTCTGTGTTCGAACCCTACATTATTGTTTGTTTCCTCCCCATTTATTATGATTTCCACTTGTTGGGCCTTGTCAATTATCCAAACCCACAAGTGAGGGGTAATGTTGAGAATCCATATAAATGAATTAAATTTACCCAACCCATAAGCTTAAGCTTTTGGGTTAAGTGGTGGTTTATTCATCCTTAACAGTATTGATTTCTAGTTCCATGAATTTATTTCCATTTTTAAAAAGGAGAATTGAGTAGAGGTTAGCTATGAGGAGCCGAAGTGTATACCTAGGGCATCTATATAAGTATGGTATTTCCATGAATAAAAGTTTGTGTCCAATAAGGAATAAGGTATGAGATGAGTTATGAGTGAGGATCTCGTCTTCGATTATGCAAGCAATAGAGCTGTGCCTTGAAAGATGAGATCCTATGATTGGCTGACCTAGTTGGCTGAATGGGAGGCAAAGATGTGACTACTTGTCTAACAGGGTCCTGAGTTGGTCGTGCCCAAATAATGGCATGCTTCATGTGGATTGAGTTGGGTTGTGACAAAACGACTGGTATGATTGCTGACACCTTGCTGTTGTCTATGAGGTTGGTTCAATCATGGGTTCAAGTACCGAGCAGCTAGGCTGAAAACAATCCATACAAGAACAACCTTCATTCTTTGAGGGAACTAATTGCTTTCTGTGCATCTTTAGAGATCCAATTACTTTAGGACTATTTTTCAAGTTTCATCCTACGATCAGGGATAGACAATGTTTTAGCCTTTATCATATATTTTGACCACACCTCAATGAAGCTAATGACTCAAGTCAGTCCTTGGCTTCGAGAAGAATTTGTGCCATATGATATTACATAACTTGGAAACATGGAACTGACATATATGGATAATTTTTATAATTTTTTTTTTCTTAATTGATAGGAACTTCACATGAATGGAAATTCAATTGGCGATGAGGGGGTGCGTGCTTTAATTTCAGGTTTATCTTCACGTAAAGGTATGTCATATGACATACGAGGTCTTCCTGTTAACATTCTTTATGCATTTGCTATTCACTAACGTTCTTACTTCCTGTGTAGGAAAACTTTCACTTCTTGACATTGGAAACAACTCAATCACTGCCAAAGGTGTCTTTCATGTTGCTGAATACATTAAGAGAACTAAGAGCTTGGTATTATTGAATTTGTTCATGAATGATATTGGTGATGAGGTAATGGGCATGGCTTCTAAAATTGGTCTAAGTATTGAAGTTATATAAGATTTAAGGATTCTGTTAAATTGTTGAATTTAGAGGATTTTGGTTTTTTCCCCTAGAGGAAGTTACATGAATAGCATAAAGTGTAAAAGCTTGATTTTCATGCCCAGAATAACATGATGCTTCTTAAACTACTCTCAATCAAAGCAAAAGAAAAAAAAAACCATGAAGAGGGATCAAATAGAGGAAGATCCCAATGCATCTGGAAGCCACTGCCATCTGTCTGTCCATCTGTGAGATGAACCATAGAGAACAAATCAATTAGAGCTTCTGAATTTCGATATTCGTGAAAAGCTTTCTAAAACCTAGATCACAAGTTTGTGGTGTGAGGCTGAATTACAAAAACTTTTTATCGATGCATGTTTCCAGCTAGAGAGGTTGTATAGCCTTGGAACTATCTTCTATCATCACCGAAAGCTGGTGGGGACAATCCTTGCTCACTGATTTCTTCATTCTTGATAAAATAAGCTCCTTATGTTTGATAATAGACTTCCAAGGGCCTAGGATTGTATTGGATAATTTCCTTACCAAGAGTTAAAGTTGGTGGAGCCGGACTTAGAAAGAATGACATTCCCCCGAAGGACTCTTTTTTCCACCAGAAATCCCCATTCAATAGTGAGTCTACTTTCCTCCAATGACAAATGACTTCTGCCAAAAGCCCTTGAGAAGCTTCTCAACATAACTTTGAAATGCATAGAAAACGAATATTTAATAAATGGGGGAGATTTGAGAGTAGCTTGAATAATAGGGAGGCGGCCTTTTTTGATATGTGTGAATTTTCCATCTTTGTAGCTTACTATCAATTTTTTCAGTTATTGGAGCCCAAAAGCGAAGAAATGCAATAATTGCCATTAAGAGGAAGCCCTAACAGTAGTTGAGCTAGTTACTGACTTGCAACCAAAACTTAAAGCAATGCACCCTCGGGAGAGATTTTTTTTTTGATATCCGTGAGTGTCCAGGCTAGCTTGCAAGTACATCCACTAATCTCACGAGACAACTGTCTGATCCTACTATATTTGGTTGCCAAAGAAACATATTGGAAATTAATTCCTAGGTAGGTGGCCATCACGGGGTTTGAACTCATACTTCTGGGAGTAATTCTCAACAATGATTCCCGTGATCTCAGATTTGCCATAGTTGATGTTGTGATTTGATGCTTAAAGATCTTCATAGTATTAAATAGATTGTTGATGTAATACTTATGAAGAGATGAGAAAAGGACCGTATCATTGTAGGTGACTTGTAGATAAAGAGTTGCTTCCCTAGTCAGTTACCTTAATAAGGCCATAGGACGAGCCTTGAGTAAGTTTATTGTAAAAAACCGGTACATTGATGCTTCTACATGCCTTTGGCAAAACAAATATGCTTCTTCTTGCCCCCCTTCACACACAATCATTTGGCATGCCAGATACCCTAAACAAGTAAACTTCTTACATTTTAGAATTTAGTCATGAGTATAAACATCTCCTATTTTGATACAGAAAAGGTGCTCTTCCCTTGTGCAAGGAAGGGGCAAAATCACAAGGTCATACTTTTCTTAGCTGCTTATTTCTAAATAGATTCTCTTTGGCTGAAGAGGAGCAACAAAACCTTGAATGGCTTAGAACAAACTTGTGACACCTTAGAAACTATTTAGATGTCCTCTCTGCCAAGTGAAAGAGAGCTCAAGCTTGACTTCCTTTCCATTTTTGTAATTTCATATCATCTATTGAATTGAAAATTTTTATTTTTTTATTTTTTTAAGAAAGCAAAAAACCATTTGACATTTTTTTTTTCCTCATAGACACTTTCACTTAGGATTGCAAAATTAAACTCATCATTAACCAAAATATTATTTTCATTTGCAGCTTCTTGGTGTGCTCTCTTTAAAGAATTTAGAAACTATTCTAACATTGTAATCAGTTCTTAGGGAAATTTTGAAATTAAACTCACCATCTTCAGTTCAGTAAACTTGTGAAACAAACACAATAATTTTGAAATCAAGTTGTTAAATACTTGATCAGTTCATAGAGCACGAGTCTAAGAATTCAAATATATTAATAAATAAATTTCCATTTTGACTTTATAATTTATTGAAACAAAAGTAGCAATGCTAATAATTTCAATTGTATAAAGTAAAGTAGCAACTAACAACAATAAATTATTGAGATCAAGAAAAGAGAAAATAGTAGGAAATTTTAGTGTACACAAGTTCAAAATTCCAAATTATAATTTTAGTATATATATGTATATTCTGCAGAGGTATTGGATTTATTAAATTATTTGCAAACTTTAGCAGAGATAAATCTTTTATCTTCCAGGGTGCTGAAAAGATTGCAGATGCTCTAAAGCAAAATCGGACAATAAAAACTTTAGACGTGGTGAGGGGCCATGATTTTCTGTATATTTTCACGTTTCATCTTCTCTTGCCTAACTATAAATTAAAGATGAATGACTTTTTTTTGTGGGGTTTCTTTACAGGGAGGGAATAACATACATGCCGAGGGTATTACTGAGATTGCACAAGCATTGAAGGACAACGATGCCATCACAACAGTGAGCCATCTACTGTTTAAGAATGTTTAACTTCTATCGTTTTTGTGATACAGGAAATACTTAATAACTTCCTCTCTCTCACACACTCACTTAACAGTTGGAAGTTGCCTATAATCCCATTGGACCAGAAGGAGTGAAGGCTTTATCCGAGGTGCTGAAGTTCCATGGAAATGTTAAAAACCTCAAGCTTGGTTGGTGTAAGGTGAAGGATGTGACTCTGGTTGGTTTTATAATATAACCAGTAAAAAGGAAAAAAAAAAAGGAAAAAAAGAAAAGTCTCGTCTAATTTATTACAGAAAATGGTCTGCAGATAGGACCAAAGGGTGCTGAATTTGTTGCGGAAACTCTGAAATATAATACTACCATATCTGTCTTGGATTTACGGGGCAATGGACTGCGGGACGAGGTTTGTAGCCGTACATGTAATATCGAGTTCATTAATAGAAATGGAGCTACTCATCTGATATTAGAACTTTTTGTTTATTTTGCCACCGTTTAATTGCAGGGTGCAATTTGCCTTGCTCGCAGCTTGAAAGTGGTTAATGAAGCTTTGACTTCACTGGATTTAGGTTTCAATGAAATAAGGGTATGTGCTTCTGGACCTTGTGTGTTTTCCGTCTCGACATCAATAATCCAGTTTCACATTGTTATTCTCGTTCTAATTTTTAATGCAGGATCCGGGTGCTTTTGCCATTGCTCAAGCACTCAAAGCGAACGAGGACATAGCAGTTACATCCTTGAATCTTGCCAATAACTTCCTAACCAAATTTGGACAGGTTGTATTATCACCTCTTCTTCATCCTCATCTAATAATATGATTTTTTGTTCTTAATGAGGTTTATTTTGATCTCATTGCAGAGTGCTTTAACAGATGCCAGAGATCATGTCCATGAGATGTGTGAAAAGGAAGTTAGTATCTCTTACTAGAACGCGATCTACTTCCTTTCGATGAATGGATTTTGAAGATGCATTTTGCTCAACCAAGTATTGATTTGAATTCCACCCCAAAGTTCTACTTAATTTCTTCAGTGAGGGACTAGCAATGAAATTTTGACTTAGAGAGGGAATAGAAAATTGTATCATAATTTTTGATCTATTCTTTTATTGGTTCGAATTTTCGAGAAAAGGTACTAATAAGAGAATCTTTGTTGTCTTTGAGATGACTTCTAAGAGTAGTGTTTACAAGTAAATCGCATTTAAAAGAGTTTTCTTTCAAGTGCTTTCAAAAGTGTTTTTAGAACTTTCAATATTATTTTTGATTATGCAGTCATAAAACTATTGAAATATTTTTAAAATTGATTTTGACTGACTAAAAATTCATAGTTATTTAAAAAATCATAATGCTTTAACATTTTTTGATTTTTGGCTTATTCATACAAGTGATTCAAGTGAGAGATGATGAGGCATCAACATGAACATAGATTATTCTCATGCATTGAAGGATTAAGATTGTTTATTTGGTTTCTAATCCAAATTCTGGGGAGTGCAAGTTCATATTATTAGATGAGAAACGTTTAAAGTTTGCTTAGGTTTTAGAGGTGTCTTGCTTTTGTCCTCAAATAGGGGCTGCTTTTACTGCACCTCTAAAAAGGGGTTTTAATAAATATAACACGATTTAAAAGTAGATCAAAATTCAGCCAAATAGGCTAAATATGTAGGTAACAGGTGGTAATGAGTCAGGTGCCTAATAATTTAGTGATGAATTGAACTCGATGTAATATCTGTCTGAACTTGTAGATCGTCAACTATAGGAGATCAAATCTGAATCTGAAATATCTTCGGTTAGTCGTTAAGGCCTAGAATGAGCGTGTCTCCTATCGGAGCTAGTAATAATATTAACAATTGGTATATTGGTGTTTTGAATAATCTCATATGTATCTTGAATATACTATCACATATAGTTGTCTAACAAATATATTGAGTAATTAAAAAAAATGTAAGAATATATGTAATTTAAATTTAATAGTATAACTAGCCAATTTAAGTAAAGTACTGTTAACATGCGATCAGTCCATGAGATTAAAAGATTGACCTCACAACCTCTTGGTTGGAGATATACTTTCTCACGATTATATTGTACTAAGATAGATAATCATGTGACAATCAATCAATTTATTTATATCATCGAAGTTACAATGATCATGTGTTAACAAGATAGTGATATATATTGTATGTTGTTGACGATCATACTTAGTTTGTATGCTGCTGACATCAATCATGATCATATTTACCTTTTAAGTTCATGTGATGCAATTATGTGTTTGTAACAAAATATGATAGCACATTTTGTTTCGGTTCAAATTACTCCAAAATTCGATTTGGTTGATGTCAACCTATGATATGAAAATATATAAGATTAATTAGAGTCAACCAAATGTCTCGCCCATAATATTAAGTGTGTATGTTGGCCTAATACGAAGTTAATAATAAATCAATAATTTGGACTAATATTTGCTTTTACAAGTAGTAAAAGGAATGGTACTTTTACCTAGGTGGGCAAATGGAATTTGATACTAGATCAACATATTTGGGTTACAATTAAAATATCATTCTATGTTACAAAATATATTCAATTATATAATTTTTCAATAAAAAAAATATACAGGGACATTGATAGGATTTCCAACCTATTGATCGGCCACTGTCGTGTTGCAATGGTAGAAAATCTATTTCAAGCCAACACTTGTAATAAAATGAACAAGCTTGTCGAATTTGCATAATATATGTTCTTATATATCTCTAAATTGCGAGGTCATTAGCATCAAGGGTAATTTTGTGAAATGTCCTACCAACCGTAGTATGATTAATCTAGACCCCATAAATTGGAGAGGTACTCCTAATAAATCCTCATACATGTGTCTAATCTGAATGTAATGATCCAGTAACATGCTCTTTTCAAGAGATAACCCAAATTGACCCAATAATGTCCTACAATGTAATAATGTACTCTCTATTAGGCACATGGAATGATTGAGTTCCAAGTGTTTATTGTTCCACCAAAGTAGTAAATAAGATGTCACTCCAATTAGATGAATCCAATATTCTCAGATTGTTAGATATATGACACTAAGTGTTAATCTATGTGTGACATGCTATAGCCTCACTTCTCTACATTATAGATTAAATTTTTCATATTAATTGTAATTATAATTGAGTCAAATCAGTATGTCCTAGATCCATATTCAATACTAAAAACAGATAATAAAACAATAATTAACTAAGTGAAATTTATAATTTGCAAAATTTGTAGTCATTCGAATCAAGAAATTTCGTTAAAAATAACAATAAATTATATTACAAATCCAAAATGAAACTTATAAAACAATAAGGTATAGAAAACCCAATTAAGTATAGAAAAACTAATATGACGATAAAGTATAATACAAACCAAGAAAATAAGACACAACTCCCTGCATAAATAAGTATTAGTGAGGTTGGGCCGTGGGATTGTGAGCATGCGGCATAGATTATGGCGAATCGCGTGTCCATTTAAGGCTATTTGGTTGGAAGTTTAAGATGCTATTTGGTTGGAAGTTCAAAAAAGTAGTCTTTGATAAGATGTCTGAGATTAAAATAATTTGGAAATAAGATGTTTGATAATTAAAGATAACTATATGCTGCGATCATACTGCCACCAAGCTTATCTCAAGGATCAATTATGAGAGTTTGGGTCAAAAAGCTACTAACAGTCAGCTTAGCATATACTCGAGGAGATTACAGAGGTGTTTATCCCTTAGGGGCAGTTTGTTTCGTGGGAATCCAAGATTTCCATTGGACGGGCATCTGGATTCTAATGTATGATACTCGGGCATCTCAAGATGTCATGTTATCGTAGGATGCCCGTACGGGAGGCATCTAACGAGTTTTGGACGCCTTTTTGAAATGTGGGTATCCAAGATTTCCGTGTTGAGGGCATCCGCTCTTTACATTTTTGCCCTTCATTTTTTTTTTCATATATTTTCTTTCATCAAATTTCTTTATTTTCCCTCAAAAAATTTTTATTTTTATTTTTAAATTTATAATTTAAATAAATTAATAGACTTATTGTCCAATAAGCAATATTATGAAATTAAGTATATTTGTACATTACATTTACATATAAAATAAACCGCAATTAAATTATATAATATCTCGATTTATTTTTAATATTTGAAGGAATTATATTATGAATAATATTTATTATCATAAATATATAATTTTAAAGCAATACATTGGTCATAAATAAATTTTATAAATTTAACACATTCCCAAGAACAAATCCTGGAAAACAAACATGGCTATCCAAATATTCCCAGACATCCTTAATAAATTTTCTTACGAAACAAACATGACTATTTGAGATGTTGAACATCTAAAATTCCGAACATCTACATTCCCAAAAAACAAAGAGCCCTTTAGTGGGATATGTTGATGCAAACTACGCTGCCAGACAAACGGTGAAGCACATCGGTGTATGTTTTCACTTTATTTGGTAACACAATTAGTTGGAAAACATCCTTACAACATGTAACGAGCCAAGGAAAAATATGTGCAACACAAAATTAGCTCCATATATGAGGAAGAAAAATAAGGCACCAAAGTCCAACACAAGTGACTCATCGAGATTACGACGCTTGAGGAGCCCATTGTGAGGACATGCCTTACCAGATGCACCACCCATGTACCATGCCAGCACGCCCGCGCGCCACCCAACCAATGCGCTAAACTCACAGCGCCCCTACCGCACGCCTGCCTCTACCATGCTAACCTCACAACGCTTGACGCTAACGCCCGCACGCCCATGCCTCGCTTCCCAGCCTCAGCGCACGCCCACTACCACTCACCTGTGCGCGCCACCTATGTTGGATCGGTATGACAACCCTAAAGGGGGGGAGGGGTGAATAGAGTTTAATCACAATTTATAAACTTTTTAATACGATGGGTCCAATTCAAACAATTATATAAATTTTTTATGAATAAATAACATTAACATAAATTATTCAATAAATTAGACATACATTTCAAGCATTCTAATTAGTTCTAATGTAAAGATTCATAATAAACATGAAGAATAAATTATAGCAATTAATTCATGCAACAAATAAAAATATAAAATTAATTGCATAAATTAAATAGAAGAAGAGTTAGAGAAAGTGACACTGGAAATTTATAGTGGTTCGGCAACAATCGGTCTATTCCACTTCTCAAGCTCCTCTTCGGTGTACAATTGAAGAACTTGACTCTTTCCACGGCTTAGAGTCCAATCGGTACAACGTTCATTGAGCAAGAACGAACCTGATCCTTTCCATGGTTTTGGATCAAACCGTTACAACGCTCTTTTTCGGGCTCAAGAGCAACCCTTACAAAGATTTGAAATTTGAACAACGAATTTATAAACACTTTCAAAGAGTAGATATAAAAAAAATTTCTCACAAATTTGTAAGAAAAATTCTTACAAATAAGACCATCAATTTGGCAAAGAGAAATAAAATTGGAAGCACAAATATCTCTCAAATAAAATCTCCCACAACAAATTTAAAGGAACATTGAAACTTTTGTAGAGATGAACAACGGATGAATTGGAGAGAAAATTGGGAGAGGATGAGGGCAAAATTTTGAGAGAAGGACGGGTTTAAATAGAGGAGGAAAACGTTGGAAAAAAATTTAAAATCTAAATTAAATTTGAGCCATTGGATCTTTAATAATTGAAAATCAAAGATTGAGATTTAATTTAATAAAATATAACTAAAGATTCAAATTTCTTTTTCGTTTTTTTTTCTCTTTTCTTGTCGGCGTCTCTGTTGATTTTATTTTATTTTATTTTTTTAAAATTTGCCCACAGCTCTTTCTCTCTCTCTCTCTTTTTTTTTTTTAATTTTCCCAACGCTCTTTTTCCTTTTTTTTCTTTCCCATTTCTTTTATAAAGTAAAAAGTTTCAACTCGCCACATGTACTCTTCTATTCGTCCAGGTAGGATTCAACTGCCACGTCATCTACCTCGTAAATTTATCCTATCAACTTTATTGAGCTATAACTTCTTCGTTTGAGCTCCGATTTGGGTAATTCAAAATCCGTTGGAATCGTTGTATCGAGCTCTGCGCTATAGACACTTTAAAACACTAAA